TTAAGAAATGAAATGTAATGAAAATGTCAAAACCTCACTGTTATATTTTAAAGGTAAATTTTGGGCCAAGGAGATAGCTTTGCAGCTTAAGTGCCGGCCTGATATGCAGAGGTTCCTCAGTTCAATTCCTTGTACTAAAAAAAAAAAAAAAAAAAAAGTAAATTTTAACTTTTACTCTCCTTATTTTAAAAATTGAACTATTTTATGGTAACATGTTCTGGTATTAAATATACAGTGATTAGCTTTGACAGTGCACTGGATACATCTGTGGGTTCTAGTCAAACATGTTTTCATCACCCCAGAAAGTTTTTTGTAGCAATCCAGGCAGCAGCCTGTACTGATGCATGACTTGCAGAAACTGCTCTAGTGATCAAAATAGCACTGGTATTACACTCCTGTTACAGTTGGGAAAACTGAGGCAGAGGGACTTTAAAATTATATAATTTGGGTTCACATGAGTCTTCCATACTCTCATTTGCCACGTAGCAATAGAAATTTTGAAAAACATAGACATGTATACCATTTGTAGAAAATTGTTTTTCTTCTTTTAGAAGTACAGTACATTTGGATGGCCTTGAACTCATAGTCTTCCTGCCTCAGTCTCCTGAATGCTGGGACTAGAGGTGTATGCTGCTGTACTCAGCTCATGTGAACATTGCTGGATCTCTGAGAATCTCCACACCTTCCCACACCCTTGTGTTACTGGAGATTGAACCCAAAGTCTTTGCCCTCTGCTACCTCCCCAGTTCTTTTTTATATTTATTTTGAGACAGTCTCATCGAGTTGCTCAGATTGTGCTTGAATTTGTCATCTTCTTGCCTTGGCCTCCTAGAGTGTTGGTATTGTAGTTATGCTACTATGTCCAGTCCTGAGAATGTTCTTTACAAGTTATTTTATATATGATATTTTGCCAAAATTTGTACTGAGGTGTAAAAAAAAAAATGAAAACTTATATGGTATAATTTATTATTCTTGTGAACCATTGACTTAATATCTAGAAATGGTTAAGGTTTAAATGGTATAATCTATTACATACTTGTTTCAGCAGTTGCAAAATCAGTTTTATGAAGCAGTTTCTTTCTGTTTTGATGATTTGCAGTATTCAAGAATTTATGTATAAGGAATTATGATTAACGTCTAAGAAGTATATATTTTAAGGCTGGGAGGTGGCTCAGTAGAATAAGTGCTGTCCTGGCAAGCACAAGGGCCTGAGTTCAATCCATGGTTCCTATCCAATATCAGAAGATAGATAATAGTATTTTTGTGGTTATCAAGTAATTATGATTCTTCTCTGTGTGCAGAAAGTAGGTCTACCATCACCACAGTTTTGCAAAACCTAAAAGAAATATGTAAGACTGATTTAGCCAGAATCCCCCGTCCTTTTTATCTGTAGGAGAATACTGAAATTTAATGCATTTAAAGTTTAAGTAGGAATCACATCCAGGAATTGAACTCAGAAAGTAGTTCAATAGATTTTCTTTGAGTATTACTTTTAGAAGATGAGATTTTCAGAAAACAAAAGAATATCTTAGCAAGTGATTATTTTCCCAACTAATAATTGCATTTTTTTTTCAGAGACATTAAGCCTGACAATATATTGATGGATATGAATGGACATATTCGGTTAGCAGATTTTGGATCTTGTTTGAAGCTGATGGAAGATGGAACGGTAAATAAAGATGAATCCAAAATTATGTGATGCACAGACATTTCCTTTGGTGTATTCCTCCTTTCTTTATTTTAGAAGCCAACTGTTTATGCTGTCTATCCAGCCACCCATTTGTCTATGTTCTACCTCCTTTATAAAGGTATTTGGGCATGCTTTTTCATAAGGCCTTCCTATGAAGTCATAAGCCATTTCATCTGTTTCAGTTGATCTGAAGATTAATGTTTTGGGAACCTTTTTTGTTTCTCCTTTAGTTGGTAACAAGTTTTCAGAAGAGGATAGAAAATAAGTCTCACATAAAAAAGAAAATGCAACTGCATCCTCACTTTTTTTTTTTTAAATTATGTAGTAACCCTGAGGGACAGTGCTCAACAAATTAATCTTTTTCCATAAAGCCTTCTAGCTTATATTGGTTTTATACCTTTTTTTGCTTAACTAATACAGGTATACTTACAAAGAAAGGATTGTTTACCTCTGCCTTTGGGCACATTGAAAGGAATAATTGGAACCAAATTAGCCTTCCAATTATGTGTGAAATAAGTCTAAGTTGGGGTAGAATATTTGAGCCATCTGTTTTCAAGCAGTGAACAATGAGCAGCATAAGTGTTATCCTTGTCAGAAATGAACTCTTGAGGTGTACCTCGTAATTGCCTGGAATTGGGACAGATACTAATGTTCCTGCAGATAGCTAGACTTAGAACAGAGTGAAGCGTTTCTTCAGAGTTTAGAAGAGACCAAGGTTGGGTTAGCTGGAATCTGCAGAAAGTGGCATTGTAGAGGGAGGAATTATGTAGAGACGCAGTCTGACTTTCCATGTGGGTTGCCTTACAAAGATTGAGCAGTACATGTGAACTTTTCTAAACAGAGAGATGCATGTGAAACTGGAATTCTGCCACAGAGATCAAGCAGTGATTGATGGAGTAGGAAGTGCTAGGAGACCTTGTGCTTTTGGCCCTGGACAGCCAGTTTACACCATTATAACACTTAACAACTGTTGTAACCTATCTCACAGCTTATTGTAGACCCTGATAGTATCCAAGAGTTTGTTGTTTTTGTTTTAATTTTTTATAAATTACTTATTTACTTACTTACTTATTATTTATTTATTTATTGGACACAGGGTCTCACTGTGCAGTTCAGACTCGTAGTGCTCCTCCTGTCTCAGCCTCCCCAGCTCTGGTATTACAGGCATGTACCACCATGCTGTTTTGCGCCAGCATGGCATGCAGTACCAAGGATTGAACTCTGTTCCTTGTGCTTGCCAGGCAGACACTGCTGAGCTCTCTTCCTCACCCTTTGTTTTTGGTTTGGTTTGATTTTGTTTTGTTTGAGACAGGATCTCACTATGTAATTCAGGCTGGTCCTGAACTCACTGGTCTCAAACTTGTGAGAATCCTCCCGACTCAGCCTCCCCAGTGTGAAGATTACAGGCATACACCACCATGTCTGGCAGAGTATTTTCCCATTAATAAAAAGATGAGAAAATTAATCTGTTGCAGGCTTTGGATGCTAAAGAATGTCCCCAACAAAAGGAAATGATATCATTTGCATGCTTAAGTTTAAAGGATATCAAGTATGATAAATAAGTTGCTAAATTAAAAAGGTTCATATAAAAGACATCTGACTATTAAATGCAAAAAATATAAAATATGAAGATTGTACCAGGCATGATGGTGCATGCCTGTAATGATAACACCCTTGGGAGGCTGAGGCAAAGGGATTGCAAAGATAAAACCCGGTGTTAAGGCCCTGAGTTCAGATCTGCAAAACAAACAAAGTTTGTTGAGATTATTATATGATTTGTGTCTAGATGTCCCTTCGAAGACTCAAGCAGTCATTGGGCAGGTGACTTCTGGAGTTTGTGATTGATTCTTGATCCAGTGTTGGGATTATGGGTGTGAGCGCCCTGGGGCAGATACTGTGCAGTACAATGTAAGGAGGGGAGAGAGGCTGGCTAGCTGCAGGAGCTGCTGCTGCTTCCTTTGCTCTTTTGCTCTTTGCCTCTGCCATGGATGGCTGCTGTGTGCCAGGTGCCACTCTGCCTTGGAGCCAGCTGAGTCGGAAGTGAAACCTCCATTAACTGTGAGCTAAATAAACCTTTCTTTCCTTCATATTGGGTGTCAGGTATTTATTTGTCCCAGCAATGAGATAAGAGTAGCTGAGACTGATGTAATGTAGTCTGTGACATAAAAGTAATGATATGGCAATAGTCACACAAACAAGGAGTATATGAGGAGAAGTATATAGAGTTAGATTGCTGTAGGATAACTGTACACAGCACAGAGTGGGAAAGGAGCATTGCCAGGCATGACATGAGATGAGTAGCATGGTGGTCTTGCTCATTTGAGAAAATACAGAGTGAAGTCAGAGCGTCTTTGGCACCTGGAAGAAGAATTTTATAGAAGTGGTAGTGATTTCCCTGTCCTACATGATACAAAGTCTCCTTGGATTCAAAGCTAGGGCCCCTCCTCTCTTAGAGCTTGATGTCTGCCCTTCTAAATACCTGTTCATTCTAGAATGCAGTAAGTACTCTTCCTGCCTTTGAGTTTCCTCCAGTTACATTTATTAATTCTCAGTCATTCTGTTTGTTTGAGACAGAGTCTTGCTATGTAGTTCAGGCTAGCCTTGAACGTGTTGTGGTGATCCTCCTGCCTCATCCTCCCAAGTGCTAGGATTATAGGTGTCTGCAGGCACACTTGGTCTCATTTTTTATTTTAAAAAATTTCATTAGTACATATTTGTAGTAAAGAATGGTTACACATTGACATGTTTGTGGTGCACAGTGATTACACATACTCGTCATTCTTTTATTTGACAGTAGGATAATGTTTAAAATTTGTTCCTAGCACACTTAGTGGTGATTTCAAAATAGTTTTCTTGGCTTAGCTATGTATGTTGAACGTCTATATAAAAAAAATTTCAATGAAATATAACATTCTTTTCACTTGTTTTACTATACACATACACATACCTGTGTGCACACACAAAGTGATACCTACATGTTTTAGGAAGACAACAAAAAAGTTTTTATTCCTTTACCTTAATTTTTCAACCTCCACATACCTTTTCTAAGAGACAGACCTTCTGGAATTTCATTTGCTTAAATATTCCATATTATCATTATTTGTGCTGCTGTCTTATGATTACTTACTTTTAGATTCTTTTAAATTCCTATCAGAGATTGAGGCTTCTTAATTCCCTCTTGCCCAACCAGGTTACTTTCCTTTTATCTTTCTAATGTAATTGACACACTATCATTAAATCTTGTTCAGATATTTTTATGATATAAATATTCACAAATGTCCCACATAATTTAATATTGTTTCCTTGCTTTAGCATTTTGTTCTCCCTAGGGTAAGTGACCACTTGGCATTGCTTAGATTTCTCTGTGATGCCCAACAATTTATTCCCAAACTCTCCATGAAGCATTAAGTAATTTAGCAGTTTCCCTTTTCTGTTAAAGATTCCCGTATCAGAGCCTTGCCCTTCCCTGACCTTTCTGGACTGTGCTATAAGGCTAGTGTAGGGCTGTTTGAGAACAGCTTGCCAGCCCAGGAATTCACTGTTTTATTTCTAGCTTTGAATCCTGTTTTCTAGAACCCATTTACAGTTGTTGTTTGAGTAAGATTTCAGTGGAAGTAAATATTTCATAATATTCCATGTCTGAAAATTGCATTCATTTCTACCCTCACATGGGATTGATATTTTTCACAAAATGTTTGTTTATTTGTTTATTTATTTGGTACAGGGTCTCACTTTGCACTCACACTACTAGTGATCCTCCTGTCTCAGCCTCCTCAGCTCTGGGATTACAGAGGTGTGCCACTATGCCCAGTTTTAAAGATGGCATGGCATGTGGTATTGGGGATCAAACCTTAGTCCTTTGGTTGCTAGGCAGGTGCTTAGACTGCCAAGCTATCTCTCCAGCCCATACAAAATATTTTAGATTTAAAATGATTTTTCCCTTAGAATTTAAATATTCTTCTTAACCAATAATCACTCAGACAAATGCCCATTCCAAAAATGGGCATCTGTAATGAATACATACTTTTCAGAGGAAGAAATACAAATGGCAAATAAATACATGAAAAAATGTTCCACAGCACTGGCCATTTGAGAAATGCAAATTAGAACAACATTGAGATATCATCTCACCCCAGAAAGAATGGCTATCATAAAGAAATCAACTAATAACATGTTGGAGAGGTTATGGTGAAAAAGGAACCCTTCTCCACTGCTGGTAGGAATGTAGACTGGAACAACCACTATGGGAATCAGTGTGGACACTCCTCAGAAAACTAGGACTGTATTTGATACAGCTATTTCCCTTCTGGGTGTTTTCCCAAAAGAACTGAAAACATCATACCGTAGTGATATATGTGCACTCGTGTTTATAACAGCAGAACTTGTCATAGCCAAATCTTGTAAACAACCAAAATGCCCATTACCTGAGGAATGGATAAAAAAGATATGGTATTTTTATACAATGGAGTATTACTCAGCTATAAAGAAAAACTCAAAACCTTTATATGGAAGTGGTTGCAACTAGAGGCTATACTCATAATTGAAATAAATCATACCCACGTGTAAATACCATGTTGTCTTCCTAGTGTGAAAACCTGAAAGAAGAAATAAAACCTGAAAGGTATAATAGATAAAGTAAAACAGAAAGAAACTGAACTGAAAGATTGAACAATGAAGATGAGACTAATGAGAAAAGATAGGAAAAGGAAAAGCATATAAGTATATATACAGGATGACTGAGATAATTGTACTAATAATTTCCACCAGATATGCTGATATCTGTGATCTAAGCAACTACGTTGAGGACGGCAATGTGTAATACAAAAATCATGCGTAACTACCTCTCATCTTGGTCTTCTAAATGTGTACGATTTCTAATGTCTTATCAATTATTATACTCATTAAAATATTTTTTTAAATGTATTTGGTACAGGGTCTGACTATGCAGCTTGCACTCATAGTGATCCTCCTGTTTTCAG